ACAATCAAAGTGTCTGATTCGTCGGTTAAGTCAACGGCGGCTTGGATAGCCTTAGAAAATTCGATTGTTTCATCCAAGGCTAACCGAGCTGCGCCGCTGTGATGCGCCATGTCGATTCTGGCGCCCTCTACGAATAAAAAGTAGCCATCGGACTCATTGGAGTTACGATTGAGGGTTTTAATGGCAGCCGTGGTCATTTCGGCCAGTGATGGTTCATTGGTAGTGTCACGTTCGAGGTTAAAGCTCATGTGGTCATGGGCAAAAAGACCCAAAAGGTTATCAAAATTAGCTGCGTCGATGTTGTTGAGTTGGCTTCGATTCCATGCGTATGTGACATTAAGGCGTTGGTCTAGCCATGATTCGATCAAGTTGACGCCGTCTGATCTTTCCCCTTTGTTTCCTTCCTCATCTGTCATATTATTGGGGAGGAGTTTTGTTCTGCCTCCGCCCATGACAACATTTAGTTTCTTTCCGGTATCTCCGAATATCAATTGGGAGGCAATGTCGGAACATATTTCCGGTTTTTGGCCATCGTTTATGATGTCACTGTCAGTTTCCCAGTTCCTGTCACTAGTGTGAGCATAAACACCAGCAGGTGAGGCATCTGTGATCCTAGCCGTGGTCACTAGACCTGTCCTTTTATTCTTCTCTTGCGAGTAGTAGACTACAGAATAGGCGTGGTTTGTTATATTTGTCATTCCTTCACAGTCACCGAAATTCACTTCCGGTCCAACTCCGATCATTCCATTARTTGTTTTAACTCCCCCCAAGTAGGCCGTGGCCGTACTGGCCGAATCAGCAACTTGTCTATCAACSGCATACGTCTGGAAAAAACGTCATAGTGGTYGGAGAGTTTCAAGTGAGCTCACCTTAGCTAATCCAGTGTATGGAAATTTATCGAAAGCCAATTCCGATTCTTCCCCGGATTGGTACACCCTGGCCGCCGCCACCGTAGGTATTGACATTCCATCCCCCAGGAAAAGAATCACGTTTCTAGCAACGTCTAAATTTGAAAATTAGTCAAGGGGTGGGTGTGAGAGGTGAACTCACTTTGGTTCAGTGGACGCTGGATTTTCTCACGAACGGTTTTTTGGGCGTTTTGAATCCAGAAACTGGATGTTTTTTCGTCGGGGTTTGCGGTGGGTTTGGAGGAAGTGGGGAGACGAGGGTGCATAGAAGAGGCCCAGATTTGGGCAAAGGTCAGGAAAAGGACAAAAGTCATGCAAGACATGGCGATCGACTAGAATTTGTCGGTTTATCACAGCTTTTATAG